TTTTGTGTGGAAATAAAATAAAAAAAATAGAAAATATTGAAACTATCAACAATAAACCAGCGACTAGCGAGAGCAACTACATTTCAAGCAACAACAACAAAACAAGAATTGTTTAGACAACCACAAACCGCTGCTAAAAAACTTAATTTCTTTACTCTTTTCCATATTTCTAATGACCTGTCTATGTTTTATTCTCAACAGGCTTTCCTATTTCTTGCTCTCTACACCTACGCTTAAAACGTAGCAGACATTTGTAACAGTTTTCTGTTGTTATATTGCTATTGTACACTTTTTTGTTTATTTCAATTTCTCTTCATTTACATTCGCTCTTACCACTTTTACATTATTGCATAAAACATGAGCTCCATCATTCCAACCAAATAAAAAAGTGAGCGCCGATGACATTGTGGCAAGAGTTGTGCGAGTGAGCGGCAGTGGGAGGATATTATACAATGCTATATGAGTGTCGACGCGAATAATAGTACTTAAGTACGCGAAACAACAAGTAACGGAAGCGAAAAGTAACAAAGAGACGAGAAATAAACTTATTATGCTAGAGTTCATTTGCAATATATTTCTTTCCCTTTTTTTGTTTTCTTTTTTTATCGTAAATATTTACATATCAGTAAATATGTACAATACATAAAAATTTAATTGCTTTTTTGTTTTAGCAGTAGCTATAAAGATTTCTGACATTTTTCTTGAAAAAAATACTTAATTTGCCTCTATTTAGCGTATGGTATATTAAATATAAATCGCATGAGATATATTTTTTCAAAGTATTCCTTGATGAGGTTTCTTTTTTTTTTAAATAATTAAAATATAATATACCTTTTTTTAACAGCACTGAAAATAAAATATTTGAATATTGTAGCGTTTACTTTCAGTGAAAAAAATAATATCAAAATATAGTCAAAAACGAAGTTTTGAGAATTATAGCGCCAAAAATGTATCCGGCTCATTACCTCGGAAGTTTTTGGTGTCAATAAAACAATTCGATACTTCCAGCTTATTTATTATCGTATGCGAAAAAAATTAAAATTTTCCCAAGATTGAAAAACTCAGCGCCTTGTAAGGTTATTAATCGAAATACTGAACATGTTCCGAGCCACATGAGTATCTTCCATGAAAAAATTTGACAGCTTTATCGGCTCACAAAAAGCAATATTACATTCAAGATTTTTAGATTTTAAATTTTTAAGCAAGTTAGAATTCTAAAATTATTTCCAATTAAACATTTTTTAACTTATTATTCAATCTAGCGAAAAAAATTAAAAAGCGATTTCGATGTATAAAAATCGACTTTTTATGATCTTGATGAAAATGACAAAGAATATTGGAAACACTCTTTAAAAAAATTAAACCAAGAAAATAATTATCAAAAATATTATTTTAAAAATTTAAACCAAAAATAGAATTTTCAAACATACTTTTTAAAAAATGTAAAAAAAAGTACTTTCACAAATACTCTTGAAAAAAAATTAAACCAACAAAAGAATTTTCAAAAATACTCTCTAAAAAAATTAAACCAAAAAGAGAATTTTTAAGAATACTCTTTAGCAAAACTTAACCAAAAAAAGACTATACAAAAATACTCTTAAAAAAATTAAATCAAAAAAAAATAATTCCCAAAAACACTCATCAAAAAAAATTAAGCCAAAAAAAGTTTTCAAACAAAATTTCAATTTGTATAATTATTAAAATTCTTATAGAAAATAAATATTTTTTAAGACTCCATAATAAAATTCAAAAGCAATAAAATCACTTTGATTCAGTCTAAAACAATTTTAAGTACTAATGCAATAACTGCTGAAAAAAGCTTGCAATGAAATCAAAAAGACAAAGTTTGAAAATTCAACAAAAAATAAATAATAAAATAAAATAAAATGTACATATGTATATATACGATTGTGTCTCAAAAAGTCCGAATGCGAAATTGCATTTTAATAATTTAAAATAACAGCTACTTTTACTTTGACTGCATAAAACACTCCAACACACACACACATTCACTTGCACAAGTGTATATACATGTATATGCAAATATATTTGTCTGATATAAAATGAAAACACTTGCCTATGCACTTAATGGCCGGCAAAAACGTCAAGTGGTACGTGGGGAGGGAATTCGGCTGAAATTCAAGCGCGGCGAAAGCGAGATGAAAATTGTTCTATATACATATGTATGTACATACGAGATATTAGTATATCCACACTGCTAAAGCAAATTCAAACATTTTTTTATTATTATTATTCCCTTTTTATTTATGATTGTTTACTTATTATTACTGTGAGCACTCAGCTTGTTTCATTTGATTTTCGTTTTTCTGTTCCTTTCTCTTCAAGTATTTCCTTTGGCATTTCTCTTGCTCTACAAATAGCTGCCAAACATATTTTTCTTTGATTTGCAGGCAAAGTGGTAGAGAAATCTTAACAATTTCAACAATAAGAGGGGCAATAAAAATTATAATACGCAGAAATATATATTTCTTATTTATAACGAGGAGCAGGATATTTTTGCTTTTGTTTTTTTTTTTTTGGAAGATTTTCATAAATTGAAAAATAATAAATAAAGAAATTGACCTTAAGTACTAAAAATTATGATATTTGAATTTCCGTAATTAAAAAAAGTCATTATATTTGTATTTCAAAAACTAACCGGACTTTTAAATCAAAAACACAGAAACTTAAATTCAAAATACCAGAAAAAAATATAAAATTTTTCGTATTCCGTTTTGAAGCCCAAATGTAGGCAATGTTTTTTTTTTTGCTAATATAATAAATAAGAGCGTGGTGTGAAAAATTTCCTCCCGCCTAACAAAAATATAAGGTTTATTAAGTGAACTAAGAGGCCTTGTTGTTTTTATGAATTGAATATTTGTTATACAACAAAGAAAAAATGGTAGAAATGACAGCTGTTTCGAAAAACACCACATCTCCTCATCAGACTTCTTATGGCAGGGATCGAACCAACGGATCCTGACTTAACAGGCGAGTGTTCTACCACTGCGTCAACATCAGCCATTTAATCTGTTGTTGTATTATTCAATTCATTATTAACCAACAACAAATAGGTGCGCTAATTTAGCCGCTATTTTCTTAACAGCTTGGTTAGTGTGTTGTGTTGGAATCATCTATACCCTCAGGCGTTGACTGAAAAATGTATAGAAGGATTAAGGTATCAGGTTCAACTTGTCACTTCTACCATGTTTTCTTTGTTGTATAACAAATATTCAATTCATACAAACAACAAGGCCCCGTAGTTCACTTAATAAAAATTAATCTATAGCATGGCATAGCAAATAAGACATTTTGATGAGATTCCGAAGGCTCGTCAACAATTGGTTGGAAATGTTTATTCGAAGATATTGTTATTATCAAAAACCAAAAACATAAATGACATTCCAATACTCCATTTTTTCCATTTTCATAAATAGCACCAGTCTTGCCATCTCTTCGTTGCAGTCAGAATCTTTCAAGATTTCCCTCATCAAAGAAATTTATTAAATATTTTGCCTACATAAAATGTTTTCATTAAGCCTAAAAATTTTGGCGATAACGCTGTTGAGAATATTATTATTTTTTTATCATAATGTAAAATTCTTATTTCTCCTAAGCTCGGATTTTTAAGTTTTTAAACCGTATATTAACCTTTTCTCGTAAATAAAAAATACCTAAATGTAGACCATGTTTGCAGTTATTTTTCAAATCAAATATTACTACAATCGCTACTATTGCCTATAGTTAGGCACTTTGCTCTAGCCTAAGCTTTTAGAGTTGACGGTACTTATTGGCTGCTTGAAAATCTACAAAAGAATTTTCCGTTTCATGAAATATTTTTAATTGAATTAATTGAAATATTATTCGGCATTCTATTTTTTTTTTTTTAATTATGATTATATATTTTGTTTTTATTTAAATGCCCCTAAATGTAGGCCAAAACTTTGTGTTTAGTAAATTTTTAGCAACTGCTTTCGCTAAAAGCGATACCCGAAAATATATTAAATTTTTGGTTGCCATAAATGGAAATATGGCAAGAGAATTTCATCGAATAGAGGTAAATATCCTCGCGAGGATAATTTTCTTTTCTTTTAGCGACGATTCTCTTTCCTTTTCAAAGATTGAGTTAACATTTTCTGTCAACAATTATATAGCGTCCAAAATATGGGACAAAATTTTTACTCTCAAAACAAAACGAATTTAGCAGTTAAAATTTCCTGCACTCAGACAATTTGAATATTCTTAAAGAGTGTTGAAAGCATTGAACTAACTTGTTGCCTTAGTCAATAAATAGCACACCAAGTGTATTTTTCATAGCAAACAACAATGAAAAATACTGCCCACATACATATATGTATTTAGATGAAATTTTTCCGAAGTTTTGGCAGGTGTTGAAAGCAATATATATTCTTTACTTTTCAATTTCATGAAATATTTTTAATTGACAACGCCAAAATTTTCAAATAAGTTATCAAAAATAATTAAAATAAACTTTTTTTATCTACTCTTACTGTCTTTTAACATTCCATCTGTCTTAGTAAGCTTATTGGGTATGATTTCACAAATAATGGTGAGATTTTTTCTAGGAATATATAGCCCTTAAATTATTTTCTTATTATTTCCCGAATAGTGAAATAGCTCCGGAATCTAAAATTAAATCGGAAATATATATGCAGTAAATTTTAACTCTTATGTCTGTTCTTATCGAACACAATAACCTAAAAAGCCCTTACAGTAGACCTTATCACTAAAATTTATTTTTCAAAGAGTACAAATTTAACGTTGCCTACATTTCGGCAATTTTTATCATAGACACACACCTATTGGTCACCTAATGGATTTTAAATATAATATATGCTTCTATTCATCGTCCTGGTTATTCTACTCTAATTAGGAGTAAAGTATGTTTTATTTAATGAATGAAAATAGCGCGCCTAAAAGTATGCAACATGAGCTATTGTGTTATAAAATATGATATTTAGATTATTTCTATTTTAAAGCAAACAACAGCTTAATAATGTGGATAGTTGAAAAAGATGGTGTTGTAAAGTTAAAGTCTAAAAACAATGCGTATTTAATTACTCCTTTTTTTGCTTCAAGCTAAAATCCGAAAATTTATACAATCTATATACACCGAATTGTTTCAAATTGTGTAAATGTTTACAAAAATGTCCAATTGCCAATACAATCAATACAAAGTTGTGCATATACAACAACAATATAAAACAAAACAACAACAGCAACAAATGTCAGTAAATCTTTAACGTCATTCCTAACATATGTATGTAGTAACATCGAAAAAACGAACGGAGCTAGTTAAATAGCAACAAAAAAGCTCCTTACATCGCGCGTTAACAGCCACAACAGCAGCGCGGGCAGCAGTTGACGCTGCTACTCCATCATGGCTGCTGTTGCTGGCCTTTATGGCCTTGGCGAGGATCGTCAGCATCGTAAAAAGCAACAACAGCAACAGCATCATCAGCAAGAACAGCGTGAGCAAAAGGAGGAGCAAAAGAAGATCGCCGAGCGAAAGTTGATGCGCGAACAGCAACAACAATTGCTAGGACGTGCCTCATTCGAAGGGTGATGTAGAATTCATTAATTACAGTATTTATATATAAATTTAACAAAAGAATATATTCGAAATATAATAATTTTATATAAATTTTAATAATATTTTAGTCTTTATTTCATATAAAACAATATTTTCTAAATATCTAGTATTTTTTATTTGATATTTTGAGAGGGACTTCGAAAGATATTGAACACATATAGTTTCGTGCATCTAGATTAAGTTTTTAGCTTTTTATTTATTTATTATTAATCATTTAATTTATTTATCAATAAATATCAGCATATATGCAGACAACGTTTTACACTTTCAGCACTTTATTTAATATCTTATTTAGGTTAACATTGCCTACATTTAGGCGTTTATTATTCTCTCTACTTCTATGCTACCTCTTGTGCCTGACTTAGCATAAATCTTGTGACAATAATGTTAAAAGTAGAAAAATTATTAAATAATGCCGTGAGAAAGGTAGTATTGACAATTTTCGGGTAAAATTTATTTCCTTAAGAAAATGTAGCTCATCGCTGAAAAAATTTAGTTCGAAAAATTGCCGAAACATTATTCAAATACTTTTAACATATCGTGCGGTTGTTATGTGACTTTCATAAATATCTGTTCTTTAACTAAAACAAAACCAGTTTGGTTTGACAATTAAGTTTGACAGATATCAAAATACAGCATTGTATTCTTGAAATCAATCACGAAAATGACAATTCCATGTTCTTTCAAATCAGTCAAGCTTGATTTTCATAATTTCCAAAATTTATCTTTGAATTTAAATTTGAAATCTGTAAAGCATTTCAAAAATTTTGATAACTTTGAAGTTATAATTAAAATAAGTTTATATTAAAAATTTTCGAAAGAAAAACAAAATCTGGCTGCCGAAGTGCGCAAATGTAGGCAACATAAATGTGGAATATAAATTTTTTTTTAATGTGTATGTGTTGAAATTTCGTTGCCTACATTTGGGCTTATTTTATAGTAAAACACCACTTATATCGTGAGGAGGCACGTCTAAAAAAAGAGTCATAGTAAAAAATTAGTTGTCATTTGAACTTACGCAAGTTTCTCAGGAATTTTCAGTAAAACATTTTAACGGGTTTGATGGATCCTGATAAATTACATCCTCCAATAATTTCTATTTTTTTATTATATCTAATAATATTTTTCAATTGCATGGTTTACACTATAAATTTTTATTTAAACAATTTTAAAATTCACGCATTTAGAGCTTATTTAATATTGAATGAAAGGTAAAAATCTGCCCTTTAAAAGGCTGGGTGATATTTCGAGCTCAGGGGGGTGATGGGTAAAGCTGCTATCCTCCAGTACTATACACTCGAACGGCGTTAAGGCATTCCATCTCACTCTGATCTATCCCACGGCTCTATTGGAAATTTTATTCCGCATCGGTTTTAGCGATTTGCATATGTCCCGTACTGGTAAGGTAGCCAGACGAATGTCACAAAGGCTCTTTTAGCCTGATACTCAGTGTATTTGAATCGCTTTCTTGAAACCGTGTTCGTCGCGGCTGGCTTTGCAGGAGACATTGCTGTTGTAGATTCAATTCTTCAACACACTTTCGATTGCCTGGCTCTTACTATGGTTGCTATGACGACTTCTACTTCATATTTTAAGTTGTGAACTCTCTCTGAATGATTGGCGAAGTACTTTTCCTTTACAGCTCCACCCGCAGCTAAGTCAAAAGGAGCTAAGAGATGTTCAGTTTACACCAACGTTGCAGCTTATTAAGCGATTCTCGACTGTAGGGCTTAAAAGATCGATTGTCACGTTGGCTGTTGTCCACGTAGCGTCGCCCTGTTGAAATCACACATCGTACATGCCATTATCTTTAACAGTTGGAAACATACTTGGATAACCTCTGAGAATGGCCCGATAATGATCGACATTGACAACAAGACGACACCTTTCTTATCTTTGAAAAAAAAAAACGGACCAATGGTGCCACCATTTTACACGTCACAAAAAAATGTAACTCATGTAGGATGCCTTACGTGAGCGGATATTCTGTGCTTTCAAAGATAGTTTTTCTAGCTAACCTAATCATTGAGATAAAAATAAGCATCGGCGGAATAAATGATTCTTTGTTAAAAATGCTCATCTTCTTCCAAGCAAACTTCCTTCCCGTTGAGCTTGGCGAAATCGCATCGGATAGTCATAAGGCTTAAAATTTTTGGATGAATTGGACTTTTTAAAACTGCATACCATTGTATTATTACGAAAGAGAGAAAAAGTGCGCTAAATGTGTAATCCTGCAAATAGTGTAGAGTTCGATTTAATGGCTGTTCGAGCAAACTTTGAGCTACAGTAGGTATTTCTACCTCTGACCGCACTGTTCGAGTGCCTACGAAGGTCATTTTGTCCGATAATGAAGCGTTTCGACGAACTCAGCATACTCAAATTGTTCCACTCAGAAAGCGAGTTATTTTGTCCGAATTTCTTTTGTGTTTTTCCAAATACTTTATTAGACCTTTTACCCAAGGAATCATAAGTACTATTATATATTTGTTAGAATACCAGACATACATATTTTTCAAAATCTTAACTTGTTCAAATGTTCCTTTATTTCGACTAACCAGTGGACTTTGAGTAATCCAAGCAAATTTACATAGATTTTGCGCACTCAGAGCGTTAACTGCTTTCTAAGGTGACATTACATAGTTGCAGAGGACCACAGCATTGTACACACATGCACACATAACATTGTAGTGTATGTAGATTGTAAGCAAAAATTGGCAAAGTGCCTGTCGGCTAGCAATTTACCACATATTATACTATTCGTTTCCTTCCTTCCTGCTGACACCGAGCAAAGGGCTAACCAGCAAGCCAGGCAGGCAGCTACCTACTCAGGCAGTCAGCTGTATCCTTATTCACTTTTTGTTGTAGAGTAAAGTTTTACCTGAAAATCTACAACACTTACACATTAGCGTCGCAGTAACAATTGGCTTTCGTTGGTTTTGTGATTTTACTTTCAATAAAAAATGTGAGTCATATTCATTACACACAAGTCATGCTGGCGGGGGGAATACTTATGTAGATTTTGTAATAAATATATGTAAGTATGTATTTAATTTAACATATTCGTTATATGTGTATTTGATGTGTATGTAAACGGAAGTTCTGGAGCAAAAAAAAAGAGCTGCAATCAAAGCAAGAAAAAAGGAGTGTGTTAACCTTTATATAAAGCACTCTGCCAGTTAAATTCAAATATTTTTCAAATATACAAATAAGTGCTTATATAGTACTTATATATGTATGCCCAAAGCAATAAACTGCATTGGAAGCAATTTATATGTACATACACGTTATATATTTGTGTATTTTTTGGCATATCACTTAGCGCATTTGACAGCGTGTGAATCCCGAAATCGATTTGGAATTGAATTTGACATCACGATATGCAAATAAAAGTGTTTGTATGTATTAGTACAGTTAGTAGCAAGTGTATGGTAGTTTTTTAGTTAACTGGTCCAAAAAGCCCTCAAGTTGGACTAGTCCACAAATATATCTAACTGGTACTAGTTGCAAATATAACAATTTATGAATCATTTAAATTAATTTAATAACTTTTTAGGTTTAAATTTTGGTGAAAAGCACAAAAAAATACTTTTTATTCACAAAAATAAATATTTATAGCAAATCTTCAGAATATAAAAATATTTTGTATGGAGATATTTTTAGCTGCTTAAATTAATGCACATTATTTTAAAAAGTTAGCATAAATGAAAAATTCTAAAATATTTTGTGTGTCACACAATTAACATACAAACGAATGTCCTTTCTGGTATATTAAACATTCACCGACTTCCTCTCTCGTCGAGTACGGGACTAGTGTGGCCTTTACATATATATAAATGGCGCCTTGTAACCGCTGAAGCGATTTTCGACCGAGGTTCTTCTCCAATGTTTTTCCAGCAAATAGAGCGGCCTACAGTTTATACTAAGCTTCCTCCGAAAGGCTGATGGTTTTTGTATGAGGAACTTTTATTTATTTTTTATTTATATCAAATATAGCTTACAACATAAATCTTATAAGCTATTTGTTCGGGAGCTATAGCTACTAGGCCTTAAGCTCAATACTTATTTACATATTTACATTTTTAAGTTTAGATACCTTTTGCTTAAATCTTATGAAAGATATTGGTTCTTTTGAGAAAGTTCGTTATTAAAAGGATTGATTCGATTGAGGGAAGTGAGAGGTAAGAAGTTGGACTTGTGTTAGTAAAAATTCGTTCTCTAAGGGTGGCATACAGCGGGCAGTTAAGTAGAAGATGGTTAACTGTGACTATGATATTTGTGTTGCAAGTACAGTACGTAGGGGTCGAATTGTTCATAAGATGCCCATGCGTTAGTTTTGTGTNTGATCAACTTTTTTCATTATTTTTTTGATTTCGCTTACTGCTTGCGATTTAAGTTCACTTTTTATTATTTCCTCCGATACTCCTACTAACTCGCGAGAGAATATTACACCTTTTGAGTGGTTGAGGGAATTGTGCTCAGACACGTCGACTTTGATATATGGCGTAAAGGCAGACAATGTTATAAGTTTACTTGATTGCATGAATGTTTTTGTTTTAACTAAAATGCTTCCATTTCTTAATTTCTTGCACAATTCGACTTCACCGCCGCACACTGAGTCAATAACCTTTTTTATGAGAAATGGGGACACTTTTGAGAGAGTTTCTTCACTTTCAACTCGATTAATTACCAAATATTTAGCATTTTTGGAATTACTTTTCAATAGTTTTAGATTGTTGGTTTGGTATAAGAGCTGTTCCACAGCTCTTCCCCGATCGGGAGGGTCAGACATTTGGATAAAGTTTGAAATTACGCCTGGTTTATATAGGAATACACTATACACTGAAAGTTGTGATAATTTGCACAAGGTAAGCGAATGAACTGTTCCGTGTGGGAGTCAAACGTATACTGTATGAGGAACTTTTATTTCATGCCTGAAATACACTCGGTGGGGCTAACATTCCCTGCCGAG